GGTGTTCCATTACAGGTATTTCCTATAACTCACTCCTCCTAGCCATAGGCTATACGGGCTGCTACAGATAGTAAAATAAAATAGGTAACTTTGCTCACTAATCTAAATCTGATCTGACAGTGTAAAGCCTTCCATTTGAGGCATGTTACCAGACACTTCACATAATCTTCATAGTGATCCGCAGGGAGTCTTTGCTGACATCGCCCTGGGCTGCTGGGCAACCCTCATCTTTCAGAAACCCACATGACCTACTCCTCCTATCGTCAGGATGAACAGCTCCTGGGTGCTTAAGGTTTCTGTCCTTTCCTCAGGCCTTGAACCCAGCTATGGACCCTGGGCAGGCCCCTCACACGTTAAGAGCAACCAGGCCAGAGCAGATGCTATGGCCAATCTGCAGCAGAGAAACCACAGCTGGCCGCAGGAACCAAGAAAGTGAGTCCCTGTGGAGCCATCAGAGCACAGAGGGAGGGAGAGGTCCAAGAATGTCAAACTGTTCATGTCTGCAAGTGCAAGAGTGCCCCACTCACGTGTTTAAAGGATAGAGACCAGTTAAAACCAGTGTGCAGGGCAGGGAAGGGCAATATTCTGGGTTGAAAAATGAGCCTAAGGGTAGTTTAAAAGCAGCCACCAGCACCTCTGGGATTTTGAGCACTTCTATGATTTCTACTGTTGTCTTTTATTTTGAGTTCAAATCAGGCTTTCTGCATTGAAAGGGAACCAAAAGTAGTTAGATTGGCAGGTGGACTAGTATGTCTTTCCATATGCACAAGGCCCTAAAGGTCACACTCTATAGACATGATACGGACTGGACGTGGACAGTTCGGGTTGCCTGCCCACCCTCAGTCACTTCTGGCTATGGAACCCAAGTCAAGTGACTTATTTACCTTTGCCTCAGTTTCCTCATCTGTAAAAATGAGGATCACAGTACCCACTCCTCAGGCCTCTATGAGGACCAAATGCGAAACTTTATTAGACTGTAAGGGAATTTCTCCTCACTACTGTATCATTCAAAGCAAAATAAAAGCGACAAGGGAGAAGTTAATTTCATCTAGGTAAAAGTCTGGAGTGATCGTGCTGCCCAGGTTTCCAGGGACCCGAGTTGTCCCTGGCTCACCTCTCTGACAACATTGGGATGTGGGCCTTGTGCTCCTGGCTGGGAAGGCGCTATCCCCTTCCCAGGCAGCAGGACAGAAGAAAGGACCAAGGGGACCAAGAGCCCCTGCCAGTTTCCTTGAACATTCCCTGAGCTGCCTCCCAGAGGACCCTTCCTAGTGGCATTTCATTGGCAAGAACCTGATTCCACAGGAAGCTTGGAAATGTACCCTTTTTTCTAATGGCAAGTGTCAGCTAAAATTCTTTGGAGGGGGGATATTACATGCAAATGAGGGAGAGGAGAGTAATTTTTATAATTTCCAGTGTTCTTGAAGTTTTCATGGTTCAGAACAAAAGGAAGAAAACAGAAAGGCCTCTCTCCCTCTGTGCCTCCCTGTAACAGCCACTGGGGATCTGTGGATGCTGGAGAAACAGAAAGTGCAAGATCAAAGAGACAACAGGCAATGAAGCCGGGGCACAACACCCTCCTACACCCCGATGTGCCCTTCACGGGGGCTCAGTGCAGGAGCGACGCCCTTCAGCACCCCTGAGATAAGGTGACCAGACATCCTGCTTTGGGCGGGACAGTCCCAATTTTTAACAATTTGTCCCACGTCCCATGGCATTTTTAAAAAGTCCCAATTTTTGGAAAAAATGCACTACAAGCTAGGGAACAGCTGGAGAATGGGAAGGGAATACATGGTTTTCGGCTGCTGAAAAGGTTAATGTAACTCCATTTGGGAATGAAGAGGTTAACGTAACTCCATTTGGGAATGAAGAGGTTAATGTAACTCCATTTGGAAATGAAAAGGCTGATGTAAACTCCCTACTCCCCTCCTGGACAAGGTCGCCCAGGGGGACCAGCGCCCTACTCCTTTGAGCCACAGGCGCCACCCTGTACATAATTTTTTTTTAATGTATTATATTTGTAAATTGTCCTTATGTTGAAATTTAAAATATATATATTACAATACTATTTTTGCATTCTATGAAAAATTTTGTTGCTCCATATAGACCAAATTTTTAATTAAGAACACCCCCGCACATCAATGGTGTCCCGCTTTACCAATGTTAAAATCTGGTCACCTTAACCTAAGAACTAAAGCTAACTAGAGGGAGGGAAAGTGGCCTGTGCAAACTACCTGGAAACACTCTCACAGCTCCCTGGGCCCTCTCACTCAGTAGGGACAGGGAAACCATGAGACTACACTAATGGTTGTGGGCTTTCAGGCATGCAGCAATAACTAGTCACCCAAATTGCTAAATAGATGGAAAGCAACAATGGGCTAAGATGGCATTTTGAGTCCCCCCATCCCAGCCCCATAATTGTAATTTGAAAAGAAGCCAAAAGCAATAGTCTCAATAGTCATTTTCCAGGTACTAATCAATGCCCACAATAACCCCATTAATTCTATTCGGAATCCTCAAGTGGGTGACATAGTTCTTTCCTAAAGATATTAAAAGGCCAAGACATTCTGCCAGGGCCAAAACAATCTCATGTCATGGTGAAAAATACATGCTGAGGTGCTCTCGTCACTTTTTTCTTTTCCTGGAAACAGCTTCTCACTCTGTCACCCAGGCTGGATGTGGCAACATCACTGCTCACAGCAACCTCCACTGGGATTAATCAATCCCAGCCTGGGATTAATCAATCCTCCTGCCTCCACTTCTGCTGCCACTTTCATTAACTTTATTTATTTATTTATTTACTTTTGCCAACAGTAACTTTCATTAGCTTTAAAAAGGCAGGCTCTATCCTTGTGTCCACACTAGGTTTCAGATCCTGCCACCAGGTGGCAGGAATAACCAGCATCTGAAGCTCCTAATGGTACCAGAAATGTCAGGATTCTGGAGGGATCATGAGAACCAAATTTAAAGTATGCTGTGTGCATGGGAGGTTAAGACTTGGGAAGATGTGACCTGCTTGGTGTCACATATGTAATTCGGGGTCTAAGAACTAAGTCCCTTAGTCACATGTGTACTATTACTCAACTAGCTCATGCTTGGTTTTGTTTTTAATCTGATATTAAGGAAAATTTTAGCACCAATCAAAGCAAGAGAGTAAGGCCAGGCCAGGTGGCACATGCCTACAATCCCTGTGATCCCAGTGCTTTGGAAGGCTGAGGAAGGACGATTGCTTGATCCTAAGAGTTCAAGGCCACAGGGAGCTATGATGGCACCACTACTCTCTAGCCACGGTGACAACACAAGACCCTGTCTCTAAAAGAATAAACAAAATTAAAGTAGAATAGTAAAATGAGTCCTTAAGTACAATAGAACCTCCAGAGTTGACCACCTCCTTAAGTTGACCTGATTTTCATTGACCAAACATGCACCACATGTGAATATCATCAGCTCAGTAGGCCTAGTTCCTTTTGTTGACTACCTCCGTTTGTTGACTCTGTTTGAGTCTTTTGAGTGGTCGACTTACAGAGGTGCTACTGTGCTTATCAGCCAAATCCACAAGTTAGCAACAGTTTGTCACTTTCTCATACAATACACATGCATTTCCTTCCACACTTTTGTTTTCATAGAAGTACAAGAGGCACTACTTTTCTGTACTGCTGTACTAATGCGACATTAAAATCACCGTGGTTAATTAACTCACATAATTGATATGCACAGGGAACTGCTGCTATGTGCAAGAACTATGCTACAATAAGACAGAAATGACTGTCACACCAAAAGGGAGAATGGCAGCAGTCCTTACATGCGTGAATCACATGCATGCGGTCAGATATCATCCATGTTTATTTGTTCTTGTTTTTCAAAAAGTGGAAAATGCAATACAAGTTAGGACTGCGGGATTTTCCAGATTCTTGGGGCCAGTCAGAGACCTAAAGTCAACAAGTCCTACATTTGGTCTTTATTCAAGGACCAGGTCAAAAACCCTTAGGCCTGCAGGCGGCTTTTGCTGACACGATATTTCAGTTGACCTACCCAAGAGAAAAGCAAGTTGGGATGAGATGGCAGTAAGACATCACATAAAAGATAAAAGACAAACAAGCTCAGTGTTCTTCACTTCTGCAGACAGCATCTGAGGGGTCGAGACAGCCCTCCAAGAGTGAACCTTACTCAAATGCTTAAAGTAAGAGCAAAACAGCATCACAAAAGAAGGCATTTTTCTTATACTCGACTTCAGAGAGATTGCTTTATACTAAACAAAGCTTGTTTCAACATCTCATAAATCCAACTTCTAAGAATAAAATTATCCAACCTATGACTTATAACATTTTTCCTCCTTTCCTTTCCTTTTTTTCTTTTCTTTTTTTTTGAGACTGAGACAGAGACAGAGTCTCACTCTCAATTCAGACTAGAGTGCCGTGGATTCCTAGCTCACAGCAACCTCAAATTCCTGGGCTCAAGCAATCCTCTTGCCTCAACCTCCCTAGTAGCTGGAACTACAGGTGCCCCTCACAAATGCCCAAGTAGTTTTTCTATTTTTAGTAGAGGCAGGGTCTTGCTCTTGCTCAGGCTGGTCTCAAACTCCTGATCTCAAGCAATCCTCCTGCCTCGGCCTCCCAGAGTGCTAGGATGTTAGGTGTGAGCCACTGCTCCTGGCCCTTTATTTCATCTTTTTTAAGTTGAAAACCTGTGTGACATGATAGAAAGGAGAGTAGAAACCTGCCTCCTGGTCCCTGCTCAGCTTATTAAAGTAATCTGGCCTAGAGGGTGCAATTGTGTACCTCACCTCATTCTCTCCCTTGACCTGGACCACAGCCATCCTTTCTATCAGAGCAAAACAAAGCAAAAATTCTCAGCTGTTACTTGGATTAGATACCCCATCTGAACACCTAATCTTTGTTTGTCTCATCCCTCAGAACTCCTCTAGGTATCAATTATTGAAGAACATTCTTTTCTTTTTTCGTGCTGATGTTTTATTTTTGGAATCTATACTTTTTTCTTAGGATGAAGAAGACTTTTCTAAAAACCAGAATGTGTCAGAAAACAACAATTCGATTAGGAGCAGAGCTGTGCAGAGTGGGGCTCATGTCAACACCACACAGGTATGGCTGGACACTGATTGTGTGACTCTAGTGCCATGGTAACTGCTGCGCAACGGACCCCTGGTAACAGTGGGGACAGACAGTGTGGGCCCAGCCAGCACTCAGAGAATGAATTAAATGGTAATTAGAGTGTGTACATCAGAGTCTTGGAGAAAACAC